AAATTTTAATTGCATTTTTTGTGCTGTTACTGATTGATTCCAAGGAATTAGTGCACCTCTCATTTATGGGATTAGGAACTCAAAATGTACAGCCTTCATCTAGAGTGAACTGTAACAGCTGATCCGAAGGGGTCACCTTCCCCCTACAGTGGAATGAGAGTCAAGAGTTTCCTGTTTCAAAAACCTGCGGTACCATTGGAGGTCCATTTCTATATCTGCTTATGTAGGGATTGTTGCTAGTTGCAAGCAAAAGTAACTGTTCTAAAAGAGCAGCTAAGTTAGTTTAGTAATTTGTTTGGATAATTTATCTGATTTATGTTCAAAGGTCAAAAAAGCTGTTCTACAAAGTCTAGACAATGAGAGATGCCGCAAATTGTGATGTATCCAACAAAGATCATTCAGATCAGTTTACTTTTGAATTAGGCAGGGTGCATCCTTCTAAAAATTCACATTGAGTGCATAGAACGCAGTCCATATTCTACAACTGCAGCTGATCAGAGATTTGCTCAAAAACTGAGCAGAAATAAAGCAAATCTTAGTTGATTTGAATAATGTTTTTTGTCAATTGACCAAAGATATTTAGCATGTATGTTCTTTACTAAAGTAGCCATCAGTTTGCTCACTGTTTGATTTAAATAAGCATTTTAGCAAAGCCAGATACGCCTTTCTAATTCAAACTGCTCCTGTTTTTGCCATGCACTGACACAGCCCTTCATTTACCGCATTATTTCTTATTCCCAGCCTGGCACTGCTGAGCTCATGCTCAGTTGCTGTGTTAACAAGACCTGCCCTGGATCAGAACATTCAGTGCTTCCCAGTGATGAGGTCCTGTCTCTGCCTCCTACTCTTGAATCATGTTGTAATATCCGATTATTTCATCTTGCCTATTTAACTTGTTGAACTGGAAAATGGAGTTTAGTTAACCACTTTGGTGATATTATGAAAACAAGTGAATTGGCTTAACTTCTAGGACTTTGTTGAACTTTTAGTTAATTTGACAGTGATGAAAAAATTCTGACATGTTGTCTTATAACAAGCAACTTTTTAAATACTGTTCCAGACTCGACTTTTTTCCTTTCCATTTGTCATTTTTTAAATTTTTACTAACTTGTATGTATGAATTTTTAACAGGCAGAGTTCAAAGTTCAAGTTCATTTGTGATTAAACATAAAATATTCAAACTAGACACCAAAATGCAAGCATTTATGAATATGTAGTATCTGTACCGTTTAAACAAAGAACATCAATCTGCCCAGACATTTCTCAGTTCTGGTATCAAATAATAGTTGGCTAACCCTATTCAAATCAAGAGAAATCATGACTATTTCAACATATGTAATTAAGATAATTTAGGATATCGGAATAGTTTCTAAGACAACATAAAGAAGCAACTTTTATTTTAATCAAAATACAAACCCATCTGAAATGAAATGTGACATCTTGCTCTAAATTAATAAGATATAAAACACCTCCTGAGAATTGCAGGTTCAAAGGGCTTATATCATTCGTTTGTATAAAGAAGAGTGCTGAAGAACAAGTAACCCTTAGAAATCTGCCATTACCTTGTAGATACTGTGTTCTCTGTGTTGTACAGAATGATTTTGTATTTCCCCTAAAGGTCAGAGCATATTATATATTCATGTTCTTATATGTAAGCAGAAAACTTAAACGGTATGTTTTGGGGGGCAGTTTATAGTGAAGCTAGCAATTTTATAAAATATATAAATTCATCTTGGAGGAGGACAGAAGATAAATGTTCTGAACCTGCGAATGGAACTGAAAAAAAAGGAAAGAGTTTTGGTTCCCAGTTACTATTTACAGTATATCAAACACTAAAGGACTGGGTAGCAACAGAGCCCCAAAGAGAAAATGTAGCTGTGTGCAGGTGAGTTGGAAGAGCCTGTGGTGCGTGCAGATTTACAGACTACTTGTCATGGGTAGAAGAGCCCAGCAGATGTCGGCTTCTCTACCACTGCTCAGCAGGCGATAGAAAGCCCTGTAGAACCATCAGGATGCCTGGGGAGGAACCTTGCTAACACTCACTGTATTTGATTGCAGTGAGCCATGCAGATAAACTGAAGCCAAATTTGGAAAATTAGTTCTAAAGATCCGGCACGTTTCTGTGTGTTTTGAGGATTATTCCTTCTATAAATATGTATACAACAGTTTCATTAAAATTTGCATTTTGAACTAAGTTGGTTATCCTATTCAAACTTGGAACTACTTGGATCTTTTATTCAAATGCCTGTAGTAGCAGGAAAACTTCAGTCTTGTGACTGTTTCAAACGGCAGTGGCTATGGTAATTGAACCAATAGTATTTAGAAATACGACCACAATGTTTAAAAAAAAAATATATATATGTTCAAGTGAGAATTGAGAATGAAGTATTTGCTGGTGATAATATAGAAACAGGAAGGACTCCATGCATCTGAGAGAACTGCGCAGAAGAAACTTGCTGGTATCAAAGGACAAGATGTTTATGCAGAGGAAAGTAATCTCTTTGACCCGTTTTTTCTCATTTGTCAATTGGCACAAGATTCCTGATTCACATTTTCTTTATGTTCCTGTGTCTCAGCGCAGGAACAGTGATTCCAGTGTACGTGTTAGTGGCATGAATTTAATGCATAAAATGGAAGCGTGCCAATACTTTGAACCTGATAAATTTTTATCCTTGTGTGGATTGTATAGAAAATTCTGAACAAGTCACTTCAATAATTTTTTTTGTCTGTTTGCTAATGAGGATCATTCCTCATGGTTTTTTCAAGATCAACATGGTTATTTTACTAGATCACAACTATCCTTTAGCCAGTGAAAGATGATTTTAAAAGCCTTACTTGAGTCCAAGAACCAGATGACAGTTACACATCAATATTTAAAATGGACTTGGAGCATTTGGAATTTAGTTACAGCTGCTATTACCTGGCTAGGATAATTTTGTTAATCACTGGATAATATTTGAAGCTAATAAGTAGCTGTTCACAGTAGGTTAAGTACATTTGTATTTTAATAAATCTTATTATGCTGTTTTAGCAGAGGCTATGATGCTGTCTTTAGATACCACAAAGGTATATAACCTTGTTTCTTAGCACTGGGGTAATACAAGCGCCCTTGAAATCAGTGAGGTCATGGTAGATTTATACAGCCATGTGGTAAACAAGGATGGAATTGAGAGGTGTTATAATGAGATTTTGCTATACAAACTGTTGAAAATTTGATCTTGTTACACTTGGCAATATTTTTATTTCACTATGGGAGAATTTTCTCCTCCCCCCCTCCCCTTCAGTTTGCAGTTATTTATGTGCTGCTTGGGTATTTTCATGCTGTGTAGGTATGTGTTTTGCCTCTGCTCTGTACATCTGTGAGTGTAAGTATAGAGGCAATTAAGGACTAAGAAAAAATGTGTTTAGTTTTCATGGTATCTCTAAGATTAGGTTTTCTTTAAATACTGTATTTTGAAATGTTCTTATATGTTCACATACTTGCTATGTCAACTTTTGGCAATATCACATCTATCTTAATGCCATTCCTAAAATAATGTCATGGTCTTCTGCTCAGAGAGAATTGCACTGGTCTCGTTTCTCTTCAGCTCTTCTGTACACTTGTATTCTGGAGAAAGTGCAGCCTTGTTCCTCCTGTACCCCAGTGTAAATGTGGATATTAGCAGCTTCCTCATTACATGGTCTGGTTACAGCTAAGTTGTGTTTTGGTTCAAAGTGTCACAAACATTGGTATCACCTTTCTGCTTTTGTTTCTAATACCCTTCACTATCTCCCATAACAAAAGCACAGACAAGTCTTGTTAGCAGAATTTGCAAATTGTACTTCTAATAGGAAATATATGCTAATAGATAAAAAACAAACTTCAGTATTTTTCAGGGTTTTTTGTGTTTACTTCGGGAGTTCTTTGTGTCTTCCTCTGAATAAGATGGCAAGGTCTACTAACGGCTGGTTTTCTGTTACACCTGTGGACAAGCCAGTAATTGCACTTGCTTCAAATAATAGCCTCAGCATTTCTTAGCGGAAGCAACCTAATTCCAGTTCAGGTCATCTTCATTAGTGAATGTCCAGCTTTAACCTGTACCGAACCGTGTTTCAGTACAGAGCTTCATGAAGCTGAATCAGCAAGCTGTACGAGCCTTCTCTGAGTACACGTCTTGGGTGGGGTTTTTGGTCATGCAGTAGGATCATACATCAGATAGTTGCTTCAGCTTACCAGGGCTGGAGGTAAACCTCTAAAACTAGATCACTTTTATTTGTATTTTTAACAGTGCAGAGGCAGTAGGTAAGATTTTATGAACACAGTACATTTATTTTAGCTAATACACCTGTGGACACCCAGCAGACACACAGCTCACCTAAGCAGCGTGGTGCTTAGTGTCCTTGTCACAATACCCAGTTCACTTTTGCTGGCCAGGCAGTCACCAGCTGAGGATGTGCTGGCCTCCCTTGCTTCTTGGACCATGCTGGTCCCTGGCCTCGCTGAGCTGTTCTCCAAGTCTCTGGGGCAGGGTTTTCCCTCAGGGATTTTTATGCCCCCTGCCCTGCCCCAGTTGCATATCTGTTTCCCCCAAAACTGCACTCAGGGGCACAGATACCTAACATCATAGGCATAGGAGTTACAGGAGGAAATGCAAGTGATAAATAGCAATATAGTAGCAAGTCCTACATAGAAAACAATGTAAAAGGTAGCCTTATTTTTAGTGCATTTTTACATTTGATGATGTCTGTATTTATTTCCCTTTTTTATCCAATAGAGTAGTAAAATTGGGACACCGCAATACAGTTTTGCTTCAACAACACGATCAAAACATTATGAACATTCTAAACTAGCACTGAAGTTGCAGTTGTGGAAAACCAAATAATTTTGCCACATCTTATTTTACCTATGTACCTGAAAGTTAGGATTATAAAATGAAGAAAAACAATGACTGTTTAAAATGTTTCATTCCAACACTGTGTATTGCATTTACTTCTGATTTCTCTTTCTACTGTGTTCTTAGGAGATACTTAAGAATGAAAATTATAGACAAGAAATGAAACAGAAAATCAAAGATGCATCCGAAAAGGATAAGCTGCTTCAGGCCAAGGAATACAAGGAGGGACTTGTTGCTGAACCAGTGCGTACTCATGTCAAAGGCCATGCATCTGCCCCTTACTATGGAAAGCAAGAGCCTTCGCAAGATCCAACGAGCACTGCGAATACCTTTCAGCCAGGTTCATGGATGCCACCAGGCAGTGGTAGTAGTCAAAATAAATAAACAATTGTAATGTACAGATATTGATAATGGACAAATATGCAATAACGTAACATTAAAGCAGCTTCATTTATTTTTGCAGAACTGTTAAAATAGCCTTAATCATGACAAACTGCCATGTAACATTCAGGTTCAGTGAAAAACAGGATGTGTCTCTAATTAAGTTTATTTTCGACAGTTGCTGTTCATCAGTTGCTCTTGAAATCCTAGGTAGAAGATTTTCTAGCTAACTTAATTTTCTTAAATAATTCTGTGTTTTCCTTGAAGACTCATTTATTTTTAAAATTGGTTTTGATGTAATAAATCTTAGTTCATTAGTACACTTAAATATTCCCAAACCTCGGTGTCAGTTTATGATGGTTCTTCAGAATGCTTGTGGTGCCTGTGTGCTTTCTTCTGCCAAGTGGATGGAAAAGTTGATGACATTAACAGGAATCACTGACACTACACTGACTATGCACTGTATTAATCTTAGAGACATTCTTGTAACTTCAGAAAACAGCGTATTTGAATGGTTTACTGTAAGCAGAGGATAAAATCAGCCTGAGTTAAACTACATGTAACTACTGTAAGAGAGGTTAGAAGCACTTAGTAAAGCAGCTGGAAAACAACAGGTTTGAAACAAGGGACTGTCATTAATATTTAAAAAAAAAAAAAGTTTTTATTTCTGGTGTATGTGAGGACTCCCCTGAATGGTTAATCTGTTTGGCCAGAGTTTAGATACATAAGCTTAGAGATGATGTTTGAGAACTAAAGAAATAAAGACAACACAATTTTTTGAAAAAGTATCAAATTTATTTATGCAGTGCATCCTTCACCAGTTCTCCGTGTGTATGGAGGTATCCATACAAAGTTATGGAGGTTTCAAAGGTGGAACACATACACATTCGACAACACTTGAGACAAAACAGTGGAGACTGAATCCCATGTATTTCTAAAATGCCAAAATGTCATATTCTAATAATGTTTGCTTTGACCAAAAAAAAAGAAAAATCAACAGTATTTCATATTTGCTTCAAGTCGTTTCAGTTAAGACTCCACATTTCTAATCCCCCTTGGTGTCAGACAGCTCTATAGGTGTCCTCATTTGAACAATGGTATTATTTTAAGGTTTTAACTGTGATGAAGTACTGGTTGCTAGAAAGCACAATTCTGTGCTGCTGTTTAGAAATATGCTAAATCTTAAAACCTAATGACTCCCACAAGCTCTTCAGAACTAGATTATTAATAAAAATTAGGCTTTGAAAAATTAATCACTTCTCTTAGAAAAGCATGAATCGGAATTAAGGATAAATAATTTTGGCATGTTTACAACACAAACCCCACTTGGATTCCAGTATGCCAGCATTTTGCAACCTGGAAGGCAGCAGAGTTTCAAGGGACATGAGAACAAAGATCCCACCTAAACTCAGAAGGTCCTAAATCAAAGGTAGCCAACATGTTAGCAAGTAGGAAGAACTACTGTCACCAGTGCGCGCATCTTCCTCCTGTACTCTCCCCCAGCCACCTGCTATAGGTCACTAGGACAGGACACAGCACGCTAGGCCACCTGGGCCTTTGGTCTCACCCCATTTATAGCTGTTCTTGGGGACAGAAAGAGTTTGTGAAGGCAGACACAAATTAGTTACAAGTGGAATGTTTGGGTGATTGTTAGGGAAAAACCAAACAACATAGTAGTGTATTTGGTAGAACATGAGCGGCCTAAGACAAATGAAGGTAATAAGAACAAGCAATCAGTTTCCTAGAGTTTGGGCTGAATTTGAAGAGTGTAGGTGGCTGGTAGTTCAGGAAGTGGGAAAAGCTAAGTTTGGTTCTTTCCTTAGACAATCCCCACCATCCAAGACACTTGCAGCAGCCCCAGTGGGCAAAAAGCTCAATTGACCACAGTGCCACATGCAGTGTCCTTAAAGGAAAACAGTAAGGTATGCTACCCAACTCTTAAGCTATTTTATCTCTACAGCTCTGCTGAAAGTATACCAAAACTTGCCCTTCTATAATCCAGTTTACCATTCACATTTTCCCCGATTTGACAATTTTAAGACACTTGTTACATCATAGCTCAGGTAAGGCAAAAAAAAATCTACCTCCAGAATCACCCAACAGATTAATTTTTAAATTTATTATGCAAATTTGGAAAAGCAACCTGCACTAGAACACAAGTAGTACATTACATGATTTTAACAAGTGTCACTTGGGCAAGCTTTAACACAAATCATCTCAGCAGAAAAAAATAGATGGAAAAGATTAAATTTCATACTTCAAGAAATAACAAAATCAAGTATCAAAGGACAGTTACAACACAAAATGTGTTTCATTTTTAAAGTGAATTCTTTGCACAAGGAAGGCCTTCTGACCCCCCCCCCCTTTAATCCTTCTTTGTTCGTTTGGCTTTTGCAATATTTTCTTGGCGTTTCTGTTTCTTCTTTTGCTCTCGCTCCCTGGCCTCAATCATTTTTGCAAGCTTCCAGGAAAGTGCTGCACTAATGACAAACAATGGTGTAAGAGCCAAGATCACTGTAGTAAGAAAGCCGTATGGGTCCTTTGCAGCCCAGTCCACGATGTATTCAGCCCAAGCCTTAATATCGAACATTTTTTCTGTTTTTCTATTGGGAAAACCCTATGGAATAATAAAAAAACATTTCCGAGTGTTCAGAAAAATAAAAGCACACCTACACAGCAATTACCATTTTAATGTAAGTCATCATCCTTCATTATTAAAAAGCAAACTCATTTTTGCTCAGGCTAAAAGTAGTGCATAGTATGTCAAATTTTTCCCCCCCCTTAAAAGCACCCTGTTTACAGAAGAGTTGGGCATTCCACCCGACAGTGCTCCAGATACAACCAAGAAATACCGCGGCATGGAGAACCTGCGGGGCTGGGCTTCTTCGAAGAGAAGGAGAGAGAGCTCGGTTGGTTTATCTTTCTATAGGTTTTATGAGGGAGGCGGGGCAGTGCTTTACACAGTGAACTACCCACACTCGGCGAGTCACCTACAGCGTACAACTGCTGAGGGCAGCCCTCAGGCCACCCGCGCCAGCCCGCCC